CAGCCAGGCCTTTAACAACGGAATGGGCCACGGCTATAATTAATGGGTCTTTCCTTGAGGGCAGATTTCCATCTGCCCTGAAGGATACACTCATTAGGCCCATTAGGAAGAAACCTAGTTTGGCGGCGGACGAAATTGGCAATTATAGGCCCGTTGCCAATGTTTCTTTCTTAAGCAAGGTGGTCGAGAGGGTGGTGGCCGATCAGCTTCATGCGCTCCTGGATGAAACAGATGCCCTGGATCCATTTCAGTCGGGGTTCAGGCCGTGCAATTGGTACAGAAACGGCATTGGTTGCCCTGTGTGATGACCTACTGAGGTTGGCCGACAGGAGAAAAGTGTCCCTGCTGGTCCTCCTCGATATCTCAGCGGCCTTCGATACCATTGACCACGGTATCCTCCTGGGGAGGCTCTCCAAGTTGGGAATAGGTGGCCTGCCATTGGATTCGCTCAATTGGTACAGAAACGGCATTAGTCGCCCTGTGTGATGACCTACTGAGGGTGGCCAACAGGGGAAAAGTGTCCCTGCTGGTCCTCCTTGATATCTCAGCGGCCTTCGATACCATTGACCACGGTATCCTCCTGGGGAGGCTCTCCGAGTTGGGAATAGGTGGCCTGGCATTGGCCTGGCTCCGTTCCTTCTTGGAGGACCGTCCCCAGAGAGTGCAACTTGGGGAGAGAGTCTCAGCCCCATGGAGCCTCAATTGTGGGGTTCCACAGGGGTTGATTATCTCCCCAATGCTGTTTAACATCTACATGAGGCTGCTGGGTGGGGTCATCAGGGGGTGTGGAGCCTTGTGTCATCAGTATGTGGATAACACTCAGCTCTACATCTCCTTTTTGACAACTGCAGGAGATGCCGTTCTGTGCCTTCAGCGCTGCCTGGAGGCTGTACTGCGATGGATGCAGGAGAACGGGCTAAGGCTGAACACGGACAAGACGGAGGTACTGAGGTTGATGAGACTGTATTGTCCATAATGTAGTTTTTCATCCCCTAGAGAGCTGTGCAGACTAGTTTTGCACACCTTTGTTTTATGTAACATAAATAAAATACAGTCCCAGAAGGCTGCTGCAAATATCCAGTTTCAGCCAGTTCATATCTACAAGTATATAGTTTCCTTTCTGGAGCTGTGTTTGGCATTCAGTGAGAACATGATTCATTCTCCACCTGCACATATATATTTGCTTTGCAGACATGGACTCATCTGGAAAAGGATTATCAGGAACTCATACGGCAGCTAGAGACAATTGAAACTAGCATGCCTAGTGTTGGTTTGGTAGAGGAGTCTGAGGAGAGGCTTACCGATCGAATTGCACTTTATCAGGTAATGCTGATGATCCCATTCTAATTACTGATTTATTATCGAGCAGCATAAAGAATCCAGCAGTTCCCTAGAGATTGTACATGCCTGTATTAATAGCTGTTTCCTCTACGATACGAATGTTGCTACTCCCTGTACCCCCTCTGTAGCAATTCAGAAGAGGAGTCCTGGTGGATCAGAGCAAATATCTGGCTTGAGATGGGAAAGAAGCAGATGTTCAGATATTGTTGAAATCTAGCATCCATCACTTAACAGCCATTGTAGTTAATGGTGAGGGATGATGAGATGTGCTGTTCAGCAAGATGCAGGTGATGGTCGATGTTCCCTAACCATCATAGCAGCAATTGACTTTTCCCTTCCAGAGTTGAAGCTTAAACTACTAGAGTAGCAGTAGTTTTGTTCTTTCCAAGCACATAGCCCACAATTAGAGCCTAGATTATGCACTCTCTTTGATTGGCAAGGACTCCATTGACATCGAGTTTCTTTGCCATGGATAAGCAATACGTTTGACCAGCTTTAATTTTTTGAAAGTATTTAAAATGTACTAGTTTAATATGATTATGTACTAGTTTAATATGATAGTTTAATATGCGAGGGGATGTGGTGGCGCTGTGGGTTAAACCACAGAAGCCTCTGTGCTGCAGGGTCGGAAGACCAGCAGTCGTAAGATTGAATCCATGCGACGGAGTGAGCTCCCGTCGCTTGTCCCAGCTCCTGCCAACCTACCAGTTTGAAAGCATGTAAAAATGCAAGTAGATAAATAGGTACCACCACAGTGGGAAGGTAATGCCGTTCCGTGTCTAGTCATGCTGGCCATGTAAACTGTCTTTGGATAAACGCTAGATCTACAGCTTGGAAATGGGAAACAGGGTCGGACACGACTGCACTAAATGTCAAGGGGAACCTTTACCTTTACCTAGTTTGATATGATACCATTGATTGTATTTTGCTTTGCGACCTGTACATTACAGTAGGTTAGAAATAGTTTAATAAATAAATAAGACAGGGTCATATTAATTTTTGCTACAAAAAACACATTCGGGCTTATTTTCAGGGGACGTTTTATTTTTTTCATGGACAACAATCTACATTTATTCAAATACAGTCATGTCATCTTCTTCTGGTTGCTGCACAATGGTGGAGGGTGGGGTTTCACTTGACTGGGGCTTATTTTAGGGGTAGGGCTTATATCACCATCATCCTGAAAAATCATACCAGGGCTTATTTTCGGGTTAGGTCTTATTTTCAGGGAAACAGGGTATAAATTAATAAATGGGAGCTGTTTCCTAAGCATTCTGTATCCATAGGACGGGATTCTGTTCTAGGCTTACTGAGCAGCAAAACAAGAGAAGGCGGCCCCGCTCAGGTGAAAGATAGGTTGTCAGTATGGATCCCCCCATCCACCAGTCGTTTCGGAAAGAAAAAGAAAATACACAGCATAGTACTACATATCTAACACATGTCTAGTTTACCTTTCAGAGGTCAGGGCTAGCGAGGCAGTCACCTGTGACATCAGATCAGAGGAGTATAGAATAAATATGACTATATGGCCGTGGGATCTGCTCTACATCTTCTAAGCTAACCTGTTTCCCTCGGGCACAGTGCTGCTGTTCTCTTGTCAGTGATTCAGTTTCCAGTCTGGTCAGCTTTTGTACATCAGATTGGGTGTGCAGGGAACACCCCTGTCTTGTCTATGCCTCAGGCACCAAAATGTTTCGAGCCAATCTTCTCAGAGGTATATTGAACCAAGAGATTCCATTTAATTGTCTTGGCTAACAGGCAGTGATAGAAATGTCCTCCAAGATTGTCTTATCTGTTGTCCCATCTAAGTTCAGTGGCCTCACCATATCTAGTGGCAACAACGTGCACCTAGGCACATATGAACATCAGTTGCACTAGACACAGAACATCCAGTGTATCTTTCTAAAGCTGTAAATGACTCTAAACGACTGGTTTTAAGATCTGTGACCCGCCAGTGACCTTCTTATTTTTGTATAAATGTCCATCAGCGGAAGATGCATGGTGACAAATAAAATGTGTTAGTGGTTGTTGTAGGTTTTTTGAGCTGTTTGGCCATATTCCGAAGGTTTTTCTTCCTAACGTTTCATCAGTCTCTGTGGCTGGCATCTTCAGATGACAGGAGCTAGAACTCTGTCTGTATTCTGGTGTAGCCTGTGGGATAGTTGAGTATTTGTAGCTGTGGTATCAGCTTTTTGCCCTTTTCAGGAGATTGGGTGATTATGGTGATCAGGGTATTTTTAGTTATGGGTGTCTTGTTGTGATAATGGGGGGGAGATGGTCTGTTACTGTGATTGATGGGTATTGTTAGCTAGTCTTTTATGTGCAATGATCACCGGTCCTTGTGGCTGGATAGAGTTCATTGACTTTTTGCAGGCTGTATTTTTCAGTGCTGGGAGCAAGGCTTTGTTGAGTTTTAGACTTTCTTCTTTTTAGTGGGAGCTCTGCTCGTGTTTGTGGATTTCAATGGCTTCCCTGTATAGTTTAACATAATGATTGCTGGTATTTTGAAATAAGATTTCATTTCTAGTTTGTTTCAGGGCATATTCAGCTACTGCCGATTTTTCCAGTTGTTTTAGTCTGCAGTATCTTTCATGTTCTTTGATTCTGGTGTGGATGCTTCATTTTGTGGTCCCAGTATATACCTGGCCATAACTGCAAGGTATCCAGTATACTCCTGCAGTGTTGAGGGGATCCCTTTTGTCCTTTGCTGACCGTAACATTTGTTCTATTTTTATGGTGGGACTGAATATTGTTTGTAGGTTGTGCTTTTTCAACAGTTTCCCCATGCAGTCCGTGACTTCTTTTATGTATTGCAGAAATAAATGTGTTAGTCTTTAAGTACCACAAGAATCTTTTCTTTTCTTTTTTCTCTTTTCTGCAGCAGTCTAACTTGGCTACCACTGTGGAATTAGATGCATGTCATAGTGCTGGTACTAATGTGGTGTGTGTGTGTGCATGCATGCATGCGTGCGTGTGTGTGTGTGTGTGTGTGTGCATGCTTGAAAATGCTGGCAGAGGGATCAAAATTAATATTTTCACTGAGCATGAAAAATGTCTCTGAATCAAGTAAATGGCCAAGAATATTAGAATAGTGTCCTGTTTCCTTGTCAGGTTTTCTAGAGAACATTCTCTGCCTTAGTATGTCATTTGACCTTCTTATAAATATTGCCGGTGCAGTTTTTGCATTGATAGATGTGGAAGCCAGAAAGATCTTATAAAATATCATTTTTAACAATGACTTGTGGCCAGTGTTTTTAATGATGTTATATCAACTGTTCATTAGATTTCCCAGTGTATTATAATAACAAAATGGTAACATACTCGCTGTCTTTCATTGTTACAGCATCTGAAGTCTAGCCTTACAGAACACCAACCAAAACTCTACCAACTATTGGAGGATGGAAAAAGATTACTGTTTTCAGTTACCTGTTTGGAACTGGAAACTCAGCTAAACCAGGTGGGGGAGCATTGGCTAAACAATACCAGCAAAGTAGCCAAGGAACTGCACAGACTGGAAACTATTCTTAAACATTGGACAAGGTAGTACTAATGAAATGGATGTGGGTAGGCTTGCCTGTTCACTGTTTTATATTTTATCAATCAAATGCTGCCCTAAATAAGTTCATTTATTTCATTTGAGTCCTGTGAAAGAGTGTCCAGGAAATTAATGCTGTATTCCTTTGAAGGAATGCAGCATAAATTAGAATGTGCTCTCTTTTCCAGAGCAGTTTTGCTTACTGTGCTATTTGTTAAGCATACTTATCTATTGAGATTTTATGGTTGTGTTTGTGATGCAAACAGAGTAACTCCTGAAGGTGAATTGCCTCAAGTTAAAAATACAGTGTTGACATTATTTGTTGTATCCTGAGCTGTGAAATTTGGTACACAGCAGTTAGTATCCACACTGGTTTCTTAACTTGAGCCAGTTCACCTCCAAAATTTATGGTGTTTGCATTTTTATTGTGAGCTGTTTGTTTGTTTGTTTGTTTGTTGGCCACCTTTCTATTGATTGGGGGGGGGTTCAAGGTGCCTCACAATTTTAAAAGTATAGAATTAAAAACAAAATAAATTATACATCACATAGGTTTATGTAAAACCTTTAAACCTTTACAAAATTAATATCTGTTCTATCTAAAGAGGGAGATTTTGTCGGGGAATTTTAAACATGAAACTCATGAGATAATAATATTGCTAGATATTTGAAGCTCAGAGGGTAATCCGTCATCTAAAAATTGTTCTCATGAATGTCTTTAATCTTTTAAAAGATATCAAACTGAGTCTGCTGAACTGATGCATTGGCTCCAGTCAGCAATGGATCGTCTGGAGTTCTGGACTCAGCAATCAGTTACAGTCCCTCAAGAACTGGAAATGGTCCGAGATCACTTAAATGCCTTTCTAGTAAGTCCGGATATGAATCTCAATCAGCTTTCTATTTCTGGTCACTAGCTGAATATAACAACATGTAACCATACTTTAACCATTTTTTCAGTATCAAGAAGGGATGGTTTTAACTGCTCCTGCTACCCATTAAAAGTCAAGGAGTTTTTGTTACAAAATAAAGTTAAAAATAATGTATTCTACAATATACCGATTTGTGTTTCCTTTTAATCAAAGAGCAGTAGAGACTGATTATCAGAACAAATCTATTATTTTCAGGCACAACAGAGTTATTACTCTATTAGATGGAATTTCTATTCTAACAAGGCGTCTGGAATGCCTATAATAGAAAAATAATTTGATTTGAAAAGCACGTTCATTCATTTTACAGACAAGCCACTTTCATTGTTAAACATGGTTATGTCAACTAGTTACACTAAGCGACAACTGTTTCAGGAATTTTCAAAAGAGATTGATGCCAAATCATCACAGAAGTCCATTGTCCTGAGCACTGGAAATCAGCTACTCCGACTAAAGAAGGTAGATGTTGCATCTTTACGGGCAGGACTGTCACAGATTGACAACCAGTGGACAGAGCTCCTCACACGGATTCCTGTGGTGCAAGAAAAACTGCATCAGGTGAGGCAGATGCTGGGATGTTACCTTTAAATCCATAACATTTGCCAGATAGGTTAGTTGTTCATATGTGAAAATATTGGTGATTGAAATCAGATAGGTTCTTCACATGTTTTTAAGGATGAGACCCCAGTACACTAATGGTGTTTTATTTTAAAACCCATCACCAATACTAAAGTATATGTATTCAGATCTCTCTATTTTAAGAATACTGTTCATAAAACTGTCTATGCTGATGTCCATGTTCCTAGCTCCCTGACTCTGGCTCACCATACAAGAAGTGATCACCTGTAGTTTATGGCACAACTATACCAACACAAAAGCTCCTACTGGGAGCTTTTGTGTTGGCATGGTTATGACAGCCTTGGAGATTTAGCATGATACTAAAGACTGGTCTGGTCTCTGGGTGTCTGTGAATTTCATTGTATGGGTATACTGTGTATATACTTACAATGACAATAAA